GGTACATTCTGAGTAAGCAAGAAGTATTTCCTTATGAAACAGGGAAATAAACTTGAAAACACTCTAACATTCCAGAAAGCACTATATATTTACTTTATAAAAGTAACTGTATGACTGGAATATTTCTTTAGGTTCTGCCGCTCTTCCACCTCATCTGATAGGATCATCAAAGAAGAACCAAACCTGTAACACTCAGCTACATCTCTGAGCATGGGAAGAACTCATACACAGGGGTCAGAGCACAGGGAAACTGGTGAATCTGGAGTCTTAAATAAACAACTTCAGTACATATAGAAATTTCTTTTATTCTTTCATTCTATTCAATTCATTCTAAAACTTAGATTTCTCCTCATGCAAATAGATTGAGCTCAGACCTGGGCTCCTGTGGCCCTTGAGAAACTAGAAGAGCTTCATAACAGAAACTACAGGCTAGGAGCACAACATCACAACTCCAAACTTGTCCGACTGAAATGTACTTCCTGAAAGAGAAACCTGCCTTCTGCTGGTTCCTCCTCAGTTCAAAGCAGAGCTCTGGAATATACTATTTGCTTCTTGAACTTTTTATTGACATGTGTACACAGCATGTGTCAATTATAGTCCTTGTGGGAAGTTGGTAGAGTACATAACACCTCTTAATTCTTTTTCTAATCCCCTCCCCTCCCCTTTCCCTATCCCTGTTTCCTGGTCCCAGTCCCTTTCACAAAACATTCTCAAATTGTGGTAAAATCACATAGCATACAATTTCCTATCTTAATCATTTGAAGTGTACAAGTGAGCTAGTGTTCAGTACAAACATACTGTTGTGCAATCTCACAATGCCTGCCAGGGTCATTTCCAACTAAACATTGAACTACTTTTCTTTGATTAAAATTCTCTACTATTGTCTCATTGTGAGGGGGCCATTAGATCCTGGAGAGAGGGGAGCAATCTCAACAGGATTGTTGGGCTTTGTTAAGACCCTCAGAGATTAAAAATGCTTGCTGAACCAGAGCCTTGGAGTAGACATCAAGCAAGTGGGACCCTTTTTATGTATTCTGAAAGTAAAGTCCATTGGATCTGCTAGTAAACAGTGCTTGAGTAACTGGGAAGTCTAAAGTGGTGCTTGGACTTTTTCTTAGGAATTGGGTGAAAGAACTGGCACTAAGTGAGAAACCATTAAGAAGAATTATGGGCTAATTTGTGTCCAACACTTGACTACATACAGAGACATGAACCTTAACAGGTGATTTAGTCCATTCATGTCATGTTATGTTATTGTTTGTTTGTGTTCCATAGAATTCTTTATATACTCTGAATTTTAATCCCTTATTATATTAAAATATTTCCTGTTCTGTAGGATTGTTTTTAATCCGCTATGTATGTCCATTCATGCATAGAAATGTTTAATTTTATGTAGTCCAACTTATCTTTTTTTACACTTCCAAGACATCATGCCAATCCAATGTAATAAGTCCTTTCTCTTAAGAACCTTATAATGTTAACTGTCATACTTGAGTCTTTATTATGAGTTAAACTGTGCTTACAGCATTGGAAAGGAATTGTCCCACTTCACATTTTCCCCAGGTTCCCCAGAAGCATCTGTCAGCTCTTCCCTAGTGGAATAGTGTTGGCATCCTTATTGCCAATAATTTGATCACACATGTGAGGGTTTATTTCTAGGTTCTGTTTTCTATTGTCCTCATTAATAAGTCTATCTTTATTCTAGTATCCCATTGCTTTATTGTGAACCTGTAATAAGTTTTCCAATTAGGAAATTTGTAACCTTTGAATTCTCTCATTTTCCTTAATTGTTTTAAAATTCAATATAAATTTTAGCATGGGTTTTCTTTATTTTTACAAAGAAAACAAAACAAAACAAAAAAGGCCACTGGGATTATGACAAGTATTGTGTGTTAGTCACCTTTCTCTTGCTGTGATGAGATACCTGAGAGAATAGTCATAAAAGAAGAAGGTGTATTTTAGCTCCTGGTTTTAGAGATTCCATGACGGTTTGGTCCTCTTACTCTTACGCCTGTGGTAAGGCAATGTGACAAGGTTTTAGGAACATGTGGAGAAGAGTACTCACCTCAGGGCAGCCACAGAACAAGCAGGGAGCATGAGGGAGGGCCTGAGATAAGACATTCTTTTGGGGCAGGGCAGTGATAATAAAAATACCACTTAGTCATTACTCAGTTGATGAGCATTTGGGTTATTTCCAAGATTTACTTATGACATATTGTGCTGCTATAAACATGGGTGCACTTATATCACTGGGGTATGATTCCAGTTCTTTGAAAAAATACCCATGAAGAGAATAGCTGTCTTGAATGGGATATCCAATCATAGCTTTTGAAGGAATCTCCACACTGATTTCCATAGTAGTTGTACCAGTCCGCATTCCCACCAATAATAAAGAAGGATTTCTTTTTCTCCACAGCCTCTCCAGCATTTGTTATTTGCTGACTTATTGATGTTAGCCATTCTTTCTGGGGTGAGATGAAATCTCAGTGCTGTTTTAATTTGCATTTCTCAAATGACCAATGATGTTAACATTTTTTCATATATTTATTTGCCATTTATAGTTCTTCCTCTGAGAAGTGTCTATTCATCTCTGATGCCCACTATTGGATTGGGTCTTTGAATTTAGGGGGCTTAATTTTTTAAAACTCTATATGTTCTAGATAGAAGGTCTTTGTCAGAGGGACAGTTGACTATAAATTTTTCCCAGTTTGTGAGTTTTCTTTTCACTCTGTTGGAGATTTGCTTGGAAGTGCAGAAACCTTTCAAAAAGATGAGATCCTAGTGATTGATTCTTTGAAGTATTCCCTGTGCAGTTTGGTTTTTGTTCACGAACTCTCTACTTACCCCTATGTCTTTAGGAGTTCTACTTACATTTTCCTCCAGAAAATTTAGTGTTTCTGTTTTAATATTTAAAGCTTTGATTTTCACTGTAGCTTTGGGCATGGTGCTAGGAACAGGTTCAGTTTTAGCCTTTGGCGTGTGGAAAGCACTGTTTATTAAACAGGCTATCTTTCTTCCAGTGAGCATGTTTGGCCCTTTTATAAAACATAAGGTGGCTGAGTATATTTGCAGTTGTGTCTGCATCTTCTAATCTGTTCCATTGATCCTCACATCCATCTCTATGACAGTACCATGCTGATTTTTTTCTTTTCAAAGTTTTAATGATAAACATATAGCAATGAGACAGTTTCAAATCAAATTGAAA